CTCGATCACCTCTCCATCCATTTGCCTACGATATATGTCTAGATTTCCCATTATATATGCTTCTTTGTGCCATTCCAATAGCCGATTCACTATCACAATGTATACCTATTGCGTGTATTGACTTAGGCCAACATGAAATGTCTTCCAAAAAGTTACAAAGTCATTTTGTTTCTTAATTTGCTTTGTCAAAGTAACAAACTCCAACTCTATCGTTAGTTATGCAAGTTTTCTCTGTAGACTTCCACGACACAGCAGCCCCATCAATGGTAATACATAACCTCTCTTGACTTAAATCTACACTTAGTCAAGAATATGAGTGAATCAGTGTCGTAACTAAAGTATTCATGGTTTATAAGCAGTCTAATGTACATTACAAACTGCACTCAACCAGATATAACATTTGTTGTGAGTAAATTTAGTAGATTCACGAGTAATCCAAACTATGATCATTGGAAGGCTTTGACTGGGATTCTTAGGTATTTGAAACATACATTAACTTTTGGATTACACTTCACAAAATAACCTGTAGTATTGAAAGAATATTATGATGCGAATTGGATATTCGATGCAAGTGATAGTACACTCTTCTTAAAACAAATTTGCCCCGCAATGGTATTAACGGAGTAATAGGAATTGTCTCCCAAAATACAACGAATTACTTCCTTGTAGTAGAAACACTTCTATCTACAAGGCAACGATGAACTTGAATGGATTATTCTCTCTACAAAGAATGATTTTGAATACAAAGCTTAGGAGAGTTTTTGCAAGAATTTTTTATACAAGACTCAAGAATATGAATTGAAATTTCTAAATGACATCCAAGAGTTTCAATTTATAAAAGAGGAGGGGTGTGAATGGAGAGACATGCATCAAAACTCAACGACCTTCATCAAAGGATGCACCTCTCTCACTCGCTCGCCTATCGCTGGCGTGCCGCTTGAGCGCCAAAATCAGAAATCCTGTCGCTCGTCGGAGTTGGGCTGTCGCTCCGAGCGGCGATCATAGGTGCTGAAAATCGATTTTTTCCTTTCAACTTTAGATTTCAATTTCGCATTCATTCGAAATTGACTTTGAGATTCCAAATATACTAGAATCGTATACTCGACGAGTAGAACAAATTAATCTATTTATTTTCATAATTTGACTATCGGAACAAATTTGAATATTTGACCGAAATTGACATGAAAGTCACTTTTCAAATTTTTCACATTTTATACTTAGCCAATTTTCATCTCTTTTAATCAAATTCCAACATATATATGTAGAGCTCAAATAAATGAATCAAATTATTATTTTGTTTAAAGATGGTTACGTAGAAGAAATATCCAGCATAATCAATAATATTTTATTTATTGCATACATTTCCCATACATAATGTTCACGTGCCACATGATGGCTGATGTAAACATATTGAATAAATAATTTTGTTGCAGATCAATAATCAACAGATTGCGCCATCAAAGGCGAAGAAAAAAGAAAGGTGCCGTAATTTGCTTTCGGCCATGAAAATGAAAGCAATTGATAGCGACTTTAGCGTTACGTGCATCTTTGGTTTTCCTCATCTATCATCTTATTCTTTCTTTTTCTTATCACAAGGCAAAGTCGAATTTACACTACTTTTTTATTTTATTTTTTCCTTTTGGTAAAAGTGAGGATCTTAAACCTATAAATTAAATAGTATTTTGCATAACCATCAATAAAAATTATAAGATATTCATTACATGGGAAGATAACATTAGCACAATTGAAGGCCTCACAGATCAGATTTGGCAAGATCAATGGCAGGAGAGGATTGAACGAAGCAAAGAATAGTCCCCTCATGTGAAAGAGAGCACTATAAGTCAATCAACTTGGCAATAAGGCTTCTAGCACGATAAAGATCCATCTAACTAGTGCGCGACTAACTTAATTATAGTACACGTAGAATAAGCAGAAAAAAATTATTATTATAAATGATCATATATGACACTCGAAAAAAGTTTATGTGAAGACATTAAATCTATTTCAAACGGCCATTTGGTAGTCTTAATCTAAAATTCACATTTTTTTTAACAAGGACAATCATCTTGGAAGTCGGCTCGACTTGCTTCACCCCATAGGTCATATGTCAATTTTTTTTTTAAAGATGAAATTTGTTGACTCGTTGCCATTCATAAGTAAATACTCACGTATCAATCACTTCACGAGTTGGTTCCGACAAATTGATGAACTATTGGACTAAAACTGCATTTTCATAAATAGGATAGCATGTTAGGTTGGGATTTGGACGGATCGTAAATCATAATAACTAACAGGAAATTAGAAATTGACAAAATACCTAAATCGTAATAACTAATAGGAAATTAGAAATTGATAAAAATACCAACAAAATGACAAAATTATTGAATTTACAAAATTGTGATTTTGGATAAATTTTCAAAAAAATTCAATTTTTTATTTTTTTATTTTATATATTTTTTGCTGGTCCGATTTGGTTTTAAACCGTAATTAAAATTCTCAAACCTAAATTAAACCGTTTTTGACTGGTTTGATTTGATTCAAAACAATTTCGTTGACGGGTCCACGTGGTGCCAAACCGTCGATTTTGAAATTGCGATTTTGATTCAATTTTTCGGTTTGACAATTTTTGCTTACAGCTCTAATAACAACTCCATCCTATAAGATAAGAAATTTAAAGAACATAAATTAAAATTTGTAAAATTTCAAAATTAATTAAGAGGAATTGGTTATAACTAGACAAACTAAATAAGGACATATTAGTGAATGAACAAAACAAATACCTTTTCAATAAAGAAATGACTATTACCATGTTTCATACCCATTATTCTAAAACACATTTTTCTGTCTCTTATTTTTAAACACACATTTTTCAATAAAATAATATTACACACAAATTCAAAACGTTTTCTTATTTTCTAACAACATATTTTTCATCAAAATACTATTTAAAATGCATTATTGGGAGAATAATGTGGCTCAAACGGGGTTAAATAAAAGAGTGAGAAAAAAAAAAAAGAAGAAGAAGAAGAAAAATCAGCCATATACGTTAAATAAGAGATTATGACAATTAAAGCATGTACTTGAATGGCCATCACCGTTCCCATCAATTAGTTGCAAACAAAAACATGAAGAATCTCATGTTGGGAATGGGGCCTCTAATAAACCACTTTTCTTCACTGTTTAGCGCACCTAATTCACACTTTAATTGTTCACCAAAACTGGCCATTTTTCTATGGATAGTACGTTAATTAACTAATTTTTGTTAATTAATTAGACCACAACAATTGCCTCTTCTTTTTCCAACCATTCCTGCTCTTTTCCCACTCACTCCACAAAAAAAATAATACCCCATGCGTCCCAATTATATAGACGTGTTTCGTTTTTCACACAAATTAAGAAAATTTATTTAATGTCATTGAAAAATTAATTTTTGTCAAGATTTTTCCTAGTTTATCCCTATTTAATTTTCAGTATATAAAACTAAATTATTGTTAAAATTAATAAAGAATTTGAATTTTTAAGAAGTTGGTGTATTAAGTGGGGAAAATTTAATAAGTGTATATTGGTAAAGGAGTACAACAAAATATTCTACATTAAGAAACATGCCTATATATTTGGGACAAGCGAAAAAAGAAATTCGACCTGTATAATTGGGACGGATGGAGTAATAATAGAAATAAAAAGGATCCTGTATCTTACATTTTCCCATTACAGAAAAGAACAAATTATTCTCCGAATGGACAAGTTATTTACCTCAAAGAAAAAAGTACCCTAGGCTCTTTTGTAGTGGGGGGCCAAAAAAGGGGTTAAATCCTAAAAAGTAACATGATTACGAGCATTGAAATTTTCATCCAAATTCACATTTTCACTTGCAAAATTATTTATTTTAAAATAAGTAATTTTTAAGCGAGGCTAAATATTTTATTCTTTTGACTATTTAGAGAAATATTTATATTTCAATTATTATATTACAACTCAAAAGTAACCTATAAAGTATAAATTGTTGTGTAAATTTTCTTATTTTATTTTTCATGTTTTCTGTTTTCGACGACCAAAGTTTTAATTATTCTATAGATGTATTAATTCATGTAAATTTATATAATTATGATTAAATTGAGAGATTAAGTAGAAGTAATTTTGAAATGAGAAGCTTAAAACTTGGGATGAGAACGTTAGATTATCGATTTTAAGATCTAAAATTATATCAATTTTAACTGAAATTGAATTGAGTTGAACGAGCTAGTTTGGTTTAGTTAAGATCTGATTCAAATAGTTACAATCCGTGCGCATAATATTTATGGATTATGAGAATATTTTTATATCGAAATTTAGAATCTTTAGTTAATTAGTTAATATTTGTGATAGATTCTGAATTACATCCAACGAAACCAATCCAATTAAAAGTGGGGAAAAATCTAATAATCTCAAAGTATTCAGTACTTCTTAATTCTTATCATTTTGTAAGAATACATATCAAATTAAATAAGAAATAAAAATATAAATACAGACTTTCATATTTCGAAAATACTAAAAATTTGCTATAAAGTAGAGATGAGAAAAAGTGCAAAACTCCAAAAGCAAGTGGTATCCATAGATGCAGCTTTGCTTTTAGCTTTACTTATTCATTCCCTCACTCCCTCAGTACATTCACACCCGCCATTTTCCGCCATAACCACCCCACCTCCACACCAATTGCACCTCCCCATGTGAATACTATAAACATAATTCATGTGTATATATTTCTGTTAGTGGAAATTTCGGGTATCCGCTCATCAAAAAGAAGAGATCTTTGTGTATCTGGGTCTCACTGAGATTTTCTGCTTTTGTGAAACCAAACCTTCGGAACAAGTAAATGACAAACAAAAAGTTATCAACAGAAGATCCTTTAAATTCTTGTGTCATACGAGAGTAAGAGATATTTGATATTAATCAGGAGGGGTGTCTCCTGATCCTGCAGTGTCCCTCTATGCAATTCATACTGTGAGATTTGCTGCTAAAAGATGGAAAATAGGGCCATTTTGTTCTTATTTGTTGCCTTTATTGCTCTCTCTGTTTTCTTGAACTCCAGCACTGCTCATTCCCACTCCAGAGATCCTTTCAAGTCCATCTTAGGTCTGGTTCAGTAATCTTTTCGTGATTCTTGATAATTGAATTGAATCGGTTTTTTCTTGGTGATTTTTGGCTTGTTAATGTAATAATAGCAAGTTCTTGGATTTATTTATGCTTTTCTTGGTATTTTTGGCAACTGGGCTTCCATATTTTTTGGTGATATGCGGCTTCTTGGATTTTTGTTTGTTTGTGATATTCATTAAGGCTAAAATTTTAAGGGGATGCGTAATTATGTTAGTTTTGGGCTGTGAAAATTTTGATTGTCTTCTTTTATAATAGCAGTTATTGTTCTTGGAAAAATGGAAAACTTGGGCATTATTTTTCTGTGCTTGATTTGGTAATTCAAGATCTGATTTTTATATCCTTTAGGAGTGATTTTTATATTTCAAGTGATCCTGTTCTATGGTTTGTTAATTTCTCGTTCATATCCGGTTAAAAGAATGAAGTTGTTATGGTCTCTTTATCTTTAAGTGCATATGTTGCATTTTTTTCTATATAGATCTTAGTTTTTTTTTTTTTTTTTTCATACGAAACATTCGTGTAGGAGAACAAAATATGGGGTCATGGAAGGATGAAATACTGAGTTCTACTGCAGAAGCTCCAGGCCCTGCCAGCCTTGTTAGCACACTTGTATTGGCAAAGAACAGGACAAAGAGGCCTGACATTCTTTCTGGTTTTCACAAGTACAGAGGTGGATGGGATATTGCCAATAAACATTACTGGGCTGTAAGCTCTATTCTTCTTGCTTTTACCATCAATTTTTGCTTTCTTTCTTTTTGTTTTTTTTAATTATCTAGTAAATGTATAGCCAGATATGATATTGATCTGCAGTTTCTGTTAATGTGATGGTTATACTAGGGATTGGTTTGAAATTGTTTTCAGAAATTACTTGTGTGATATCTGACAGATGAAATTAAGAATTACGGGATGCATTTTTTATTTTTCTAATTTGTGGAATGCATTTTTTATTAATCCCCTCAACGTGTATTATATTGGTGTGCTTGGGTTGCTCCCCCCTCTTCCTTCTTTTTGAAGGTTGAGTTTATTTGTTCATGTCTTGCTATGACCATGTAACTTTAATGTTGAAAGAGTATTCTTGTTTCATTCAGTATCCATCCATTCTATCACAAACATTCACAATTTTATTTAACAAATGTAAATGGAAAAAGGTTTTTGTTGTTGAAAATGACAAAACTTTACTTTTAATGACTGGGCCATCGTGTTTGGTTGTGGATAAAATGGTTTCTTGTTCAAGTGAACTATGCTTTAAGAAATTCTGTAAAGCAAATGTGTAACTCAAGTCCCTGTGAGACTATAATAAGGCATCTTGTAAAGCTGATTTTTGGAAGTTTGTGGCTTATTAAGATAGATGTTCATTGAAATATATTTGTTTTCTAGGTAGAACACAAGGCATGTTGTTTCAAGTGCAATATTTGCTACGCTTAAATTCTGATCTCTTGAATATCTACCCAAACCAGTGGGTTTTGTCTGTTTAAGTTCTACTGGGGTTAAATATTCGTTGTATTTCATGACAAAGATAAGAATCTTGCATAATATATTTTCATCAAGATTATGACAGTTGTGTTCAGTCTGTCGGATTTACAGGTGCAGGAGCTTTTATTCTTGCAGTCCTATGGTTTGTTTCGTTTGGGCTGGCTCTTGTGGTGCATCGTCTATGTGGATGGAAAATAAACATGAAAGGAAAAGAATCAAGCTGGTCTTTGAGGATTTGTCTGATAATGCTTATTATCTTTACAAGTGCTGCAGCGTAAAGCCTAAACTCATAGCCTTCCTTATTAAATGTCTCTATAGTTCAATGTCTCTTCCATGATTATTTAGTGAGTTTGGACTAGATTTTTTATCAATTAATATTCACTGTGATTACGGTGTATGTGAATTTCATTACCTTTGTTTTATTGCTAGCATTTTGAAATGCAAATGAATTCAGAATGATAGCCAATTCTAAGTAATTTACAGTTCAATGCTCTTACTGAGGATGCAGTTAAACTGTAACAACAATAGCATGTTAATTCCTTGGTCCATTATGGATAGAGCAACTTGCTTAAGTTATTCTACGTTATTTGGCTAATATTACTTCACCGACTCAAGAAGATTCATGATGATTATCAACTTTAGAGTGGTTAGATCTGTATCCTAATATCACTACTAGATTAAATATTATCTCAAGTCTGTATTTATGATATATGACATATCATCGTCCCCATTTTTGAGTTGTGAAATGTACTGGCTTTTGGCCCCATCATGGATTAATGGCTGTTATTTCATTTATTTTTTACTTTGATTTGCAGTTTGAAGAAAGGCAATGTATTATATCTTTGTTCTAGTTATGTGCTCAGGCTAATACCATCCACTTTTTTGTCACCAGGATTGGATGTATTCTTCTTTCTGTTGGGCAGGACGATTTTCATGGGGAAGCATTACACACTCTCAACTATGTTGTAAATCAATCGGACTACACAGTGCAAACACTAAGAAATGTGACCACATATTTGTCACTTGCGAAAACTGTCAGTGTGGCCCAAGTTTTTCTTCCTTCAGATGTAATGAATGATATTGACCGGTTAAATGTGGACCTCAATACTGCAGCAAATACATTGGAGCAAAAGACAAATGAAAACTCTAGCAAAACGCGACGAGTCTTCAATACTGTGTATGGTTATTTGTACCTTGATTGAATTTTAATTGATTTCGACTAATTCATTCATAATGTAATGTCAATAACCAAATATATTGTTGCAGGAGATCAGCACTTATCACTGTTGCCGCAGTGATGCTTCTCGTATCTCTTCTGGGCCTCGGTATGCATTGTTAGATCATCCCATATTCTTTAACTAGAATAATGTGTTCTCTGTTGCTGATTGTGTTGTTATTTTGGTGCAGTTCTGTCTATCCTAGGTCATCAACACGCAATATGTGTGTAAGTTTCTCTTTAAGGTTATTTAGTTGGTAGTTCATTATTTATTTTTTCTTAGAGCTAATGATTATTCTGGTTTTAACAAAATTGCCTTTTGTTAGTTCACTCCTCGATTTTCTGACATTTCATCATATTGATGCAGATTTATTATTAGTGGATGGTTGCTCGTGGCAGTTACATTTATCCTGTGCGGAGTTTTTATCATCCTGAACAAGTGAGATTCTTTATGTTGACATAAACCACCTTTATTTTTATGATGCACATTTTTTTTAGTAAATTATTCATACACTAGATTCAATTTGTTTTCTTACCTTGGGGCAAAACTGCAACTCTTTAAATGATCATGATTTCTGTCTGATCATCTGGTTCTTTTTTATGTGTTTTCTAGATATCATCTCACTATTTTATTTGCATTGTATCACTTTATGCTTCTTTTTCATACTTTTTGGGCTTTTGCCTATGAGTTGGCTCTTTGTATTCTCTTTCAACCATGTCCTTGTTTTGGTATCAGGGAAATAGTAGAAAGACAATATTGACTATTCATGGGGAGCCTCATTTAAATTTTCTTCTTAAAGACCTTTTATTTTGCCGAAATGATGACAGAATTCTCAAATTTCACTGTTTGTGTAATATGGGCATTCATTTTCTAAAATTGATTAGTTCTTGAATTTCGTCAATCGGTAACACACAAGAAAATTTGGTCGGGTGGATTGTGATCATCCAAAAATATGCATATATATTTTTTTAGTTTAGATTAAGAAAAAGAATTCTCCCAGCGTGGATCTACTTGGTAATAGATCGGTAAGAGTATTATTGCAATAGATAACTCTTCTATAGAGTTCATTAACATGCAAGCTCACTATTTTTCCGCATATGTGAAAAAAAAGGTTCAAATGTAAGTAAATAAAATTTCTGATAATTTGAATTCCAGAGCAGCAGTGATCCTAAGGAATTCAATTATGAAAGAATACACTATTTTGTTTAATAGAAAAGCTTCTTGTTTACTGAACATATTGATCTTGTATGTTGTAGTGCAATTTCAGACACTTGCATGGCCATGGGAGAATGGGTGGAAAATCCTCATGCAGAAACTGCCCTCAGCAATATCCTTCCTTGTGTGGACCAAAGAACCACAAATCAGACGTTATTTAAGAGTAAACAAGTGATCAATGATATTGTAAATATTGTCAATCAATACATAGACTCTGCTGCCAATGCAAACCCACCTCCCCAGGCAGTTCCTTATTATTTCAATCAATCGGGCCCAGCAATTCCTTATCTCTGCTATCCGTACGACTCACAGCTGCAAGATCGCCAGTGTACAGCTGAAGAAGTTACAATGGCAAATGCTTCCATGGTATGCAGTCTAACTTTATATCTCTTAACTTCTTGGAAAACATTTAATATCACAAGTTGAAATTGACCTTTATGTTAAAGATTGATAAGCCAGTAAACCTGCATGGATAGTAGAGTTATGTATAGAAGCATTATTTCATTTGTAAGAGACTGCCGGAACTTTATACAACTGTAGATAACCTGTAATTAAAAGAATGGAAATGGCATTTTTGTGAAATGCATATAGTATGATTTGGGCAAATAGATCTTTCCACTTCAACTCTATGATTTTGAAATTATAGCACCGTTTAGTAATCATATCATACGAGTATTGTGCTTCTTTATTTTGAACGAGTTTCATCATTCAAAGTTGGTTATGTGCCTAGTCTTCGACCAAATTTGCAAACCTGATTCAGCAACATTTTCGCTTTTATCTGGGGCTTCTAGTTCTGGGTTATTTTTCATTCCTCTTTCCCTTTGTTGACTGATATTTTTTCCACGAGGAAGTAAATGTTTGTTGAAGGAGAGAGATTCTTTGCGGAAATCTGACCGATTCTTTTATTTTTTATTTTTTGTGGATACAGGTTTGGCAAAATTATACTTGCAAGGTTTCAGCTTCTGGATTCTGCACCAGCGTTGGAAGATTGACTCCACAAATGTACCGGGAGTTGGTGGCGGCTCTAAACATTAGTTACGCTCTTGAACATTATACCCCGCTATTACTGAGTCTCCAGAACTGTGACTTTGTACGAGATACATTCCGAGAAATCGCCTTTTTTTATTGTCCTCCATTAAAGCACTCTCTTCGGACTTTAAATGCCGGACTAGCCCTCATCTCAGTAGGGGTCATGCTTAGTCTTGCTCTGTGGATACTATATGCCAACCGCCCCCAAAGGGAGGAAGCGTTAGCTAAGATTTCTTCACGAATAAGAAGCAGCTGCAGTGGTAAGACGAGGATCAAACACTACCAAACTACATCATCGGCTAGACTCCAGACACTCGGAGCTTAGACTAGATTCTTTACTAAATTTAGCGGGTAAAAGAGTAAAATATTGGTTTTTTTTTCCTCGTGTTAGCCGAGTTTGAAGTGGGGCGAAGCACCATTTCAAGTTATGAGCTGTTGGTCGTTATTGTACTAGGCTAATAAAACTTCTACAATTACATGCAATTTTGTGAAGTTCATGTAATGTAATATGATAATCACATACGAGTTATGCTTGGAGTTTGACAATTTACGTATACGGTCTTTGGCAAGAATCTACAATGCACTGAACTAAAAAAGACCTTGTTATTAGTATAAGTTGTACAATAATTTCCAGCTTAATGAAAGTTGAAATGATGCATAAATAAACTTTAGGTGAACTTGTTCATGGTGTGTCGGAATCTTGGAAGATTGACCGTTCAAATAGCATAATAAACTTGGAAGTTTCATTGGCATGCTCCTGTGGCTCTCAATGCATAAATTTTTGAGTAATGTTATTCATCCCCGATAGGGTTACAAACACAGTTTAAGTAGCTCTAAATGAAAGATTAAATGAAAGGTGATATTGAATTACTTATTTAATTTCACATATCATTTAATGCCACCTAAACTGTGTTTGTAACCCCAGTGAAAATGAATAACATTACTCTAAATTTTTTGGAATGATGGAAATTTCGAAACGATAATCGAGATTTAGTTGTAGTGATCAGAGAAAGGAGTGCAAGTCTCTTCAGAAAAAAAAAAGAAGAAAAAAATAAGCCCTTTGGTTTTCTGGTTGTTTCGAAGCTAAGTCCCTATTTAACAATCACTGTTTGGTGCACATTTTTTAGTCAAGAATGGTTTTTTTTTTTTTTATGTGATGGAGAATATGTAGTTGAAAAAGAAGAAAAAATTATTGATGTGGTGAAAAATATTATTTTATTGAAAAATGTGTTCAAAATGAGTAGAAGAATGAGAATGAAACAAATAATGTGGCTCAAACATGGGCTAAACTTTTTTTTACATACTCATTTTCGATCACAGATTCACACAATAAAATATTTTACATATAAACCCAAAATATTTCCCTATTTTTTAATTACGCATTTTCCTAAAAATCACTATTTAAAACAATATTTTTTTAAGAATAATGGCAATCAAACCGAGGCAAAGTATGTTAAAGAGTACTTGCTTGTGTATATAGTGTGCTAGAATTAAAACAAAATTGGGGCAACAATGGAAGAAAATTCAAGAATTTTGATTTAATCAATTTGATTAATTGCAAAACATGTCTAATTAGTAGAGGGTTATTATCCTTAGTTTTAGCACCTGTTCCGTTTACTTAATCAAAATCTGACAAGATTTTCTCAGCTGTAAATTTTAGGCTTAGGAAGTGTTTACAATAACAACAGTTTTTAGGATATTTTGTGTACTCTTGTTATATTTATAGGTTCATTTATGAATGAGGAAATGCGTCCATAATTTTAAAATTCAAATCTCTAGTACTAATAACATCTTATAAACATAGAAGGCATTATCGTACTAGAAAAATAATGTAACGGTTGGATATTATTAAAATTAAATCGAGAAATAAATTGAATCTATGAATATTTATTATACTTATGGTAAGAATCGCTTTTTGGAAAAGGTTGGTCTGCTCTACATTAAGGGGATATCTTTACGTCCCGAGGTACGATAACATATGTGGGGAGTAGAGTGAATGAACAAAAATTCAACGTAATATGAATATCCTTCAACCATTATCTCGTCATCTTCATATTTATAACCCACAATTCAGTTCGACGTTTTCAATTTACCTGGGGCCGGACCTCAGGAGAGGCCCAAGAGGCCTCCGCCTTAGGCCCAACTTTTTAGGGGGCCCAATTTTTTTCGTCCTCCTTTATTTATTTATTTTCAATAAATCCACTATGCCTAAGCCATCAAAAGTTCAAAACCTCCAAAGTTGAGAGTCCAGACCAAAAGCTTGAGAAATCAACGGCAAAACCTAGACTAAAGGACGACTGTGGAGGTCGGAGCTGATGTGGTGGTTATCAACACCGATTCACCATCAACAATCTACCTCTCTATTTCTCTGCTCCTTTTTCAATTTTCATACTGTTTTGGCATTTGGGTATGTCTAAAATCTAAATTTCTTTTTCTTCTTTCTTTCACTTTCCTGCACATATACTAGTATTTCAATTTTTTCTTCTCTCTTGACTTTATTATGGGATTTTGGGGGGTTATTGCTGCTATTGGCTTATTTCTTCTTGTGGTTTCCAAAAGCTGATGTTATGCTCCGTTCTTCATCTTCATCTTCATCCTGATTCTTGAACTTCCTCTTTCTTCATCGATGTTGAATCTTCTAAAGGCATTTTCCCAACTTCTAATCAAATATTCGAATGTAGTTTAGAGGAAAAAGAATGGATTATTTTGACGGTACTTGGCAAAGCTCGACAACAGAAGAAGAGAAAGTGAATGGTTTGTATTTCATTTCAAAGTTGAATTGGGCTCAATTTTATACAAGCAATTCAACGGCTTAAGCGTAGAATGCCTTTCTATGATTGAATCCATACATAAAGACAAAGGGATTACCAGGTTGGGTCACAATCCCAATCTTAAAAATAAAAATTGAGAGTTAATAAAGTAAAGATGTTATCATTTTCATTTTGCCTTTGTTATGCGACTTTTGCTGAAATATTATTTATGGACTGCTTTGGGATTCCTGCATCTTATTTTTTGCCTTTGCTTTTTTCACATTTTAGTAACTGTTAGCTGTTGAGTTATTTAAGTCAAATACAATGGCTCCTATAAATTCATCTGGAGCTCAAAAAAAGAAGAAGAGAGAAAGAGTAGAGGCATTAATTCGAAATTAGACTGGAGATATAGATAAGTACTTAACTAGAAAAGAAAAGAGAAGGAAGGAACACCATAAAATTTATTGTTTGGGGAACAACAAAATCAGAATGATAATGGTAATATGGATAGAACGAGGAAAGGATTTAACTTGCTAATGTGGATGAATCAAAGCAGAATGATGAAAATAATGTTCAACATAAATATTTAAATCAAAAGAATTGATTTTCTTTGAATTTTGAGAATCCTGAAAATTGGGAGGACGTTCATATTGATCAAAAAATAAAAAACTTTTTAGTTAAAATGTGATCAAAAAGAGTTGATGACATCTTGTTTCTCAAAAATAGTCAAGGTACACATTTTGAATCATCACAATATAAGCAACTACTTGCAAATTGGCAGATAATTGATGGAAGATGGTTAGTGTATTCAATTTCTTAGACAAGATTTTTTGTTTTTGTTGCAAGCTGTTTAAGACAGAAAAACAATGAAAAATATTGGTCAATTGAGTAATGACGAATATAAAAATTGGCATAATGTGCATCAGTGCCTTATAAATCACAAAGTGACTAAAGAGCATATAGGCTGCATGACTAGTTGGATAAAACTAGAAAATATGCTTCAAACAAAACATGCAATTGAAGAAAGTATACAATTGACCATCAACAAAGAAACGGAGCATTGGAAACAAGTATTAACGAGGATAATTGCTGTTGTGAAATAAACTCGCTAAAAATACTTTGGCATTTCGAGGAAATTGAGAGAAACTTTATGTTGAGAACAATGGACTTTTGTTGCAAATGATAGAATTGGTTTCTAAGTTTGATCCAATAATGAAAGAACATATTCCACATGCTTAAGCACGTGAGATTCAGTATACATATCTTGGTCCTAAGATTTAAATGAATTGATACAAATTTTGGCACGCGAGGTGAGAAGTGCAATTATAACAAAAGTGAAACATGCGAAATGTTTTTCTATCATACTTGATCGTACTCCAGATGCGAGTAATGAGAAGCAAATATCTTTAGTAATACGATGCGTGGACGATTGGATTGAATTTTTGAAGGGGGTGATACATCAGGACTTGAACTTTTCACCGAGTTTAAAAATGAGTTAAGAAATCTTAAGTTTGATGTTGATAATATAAGAGGTTAATGGTATGACAATTGAGCTAACATGAGCGGGAGACATAGAGATGTACAAAAAATGTTTCTTGAAATAAATCCTAGAGTTTTCTATACTCCATGTGATTGTCATAGCTTTAATCTAGCATTATGTGATATGTCAAATTGTTGTTTTAAAGGTATGTCCTTCTTTAGAGTGATACAACGCATCTATACAGTGTTCTCCTTTTCTCTCAAACGATACATTTTTTTAAAGATAATGTAGGAGCTCTGATACTTAAGTTATTATCACAAACGCGTTAGGAAAGTCACGTGGAAAGCGTCAAGCCTATAAAAGAGAAATATGTATGAATAAGAGACGTTTTACTTGACTTGGCAAATATTGTTGAAGATTCTAAAACAGAGTAAAGCTGAGTTCTTAGCAACATATGAACTTGAGAATTTTAATTTCTTGCTTGGTATGATCATTTGGTATAAGTTGTTGCATGCTATCAACGCCGGAAGTAAATTTTTTCAAGTTGAAAACATGGATATTGATCAAGCCATCAAGCTTTTAGAAACACTTATTTTGTTTCTCGAAAATTATAGGAAATCTGGATTTGCTAGTGCCATGGATGAAGCTAAACAAATGACAAGTGAAATGGAAATTGAAGCTATTTTTTGTGAGAAACACAGCATTCAGAGATAGATGCAGTTCGATGAAAGTGTCAGTGAAGAGGTAACATAATCAGTTGAAGAATCTTTTAGAGTCGATTATTTTCTTTTTATAATTGATTTATTTCCAATCAACTATGTCACATCAAAATTTGAATGGATTGACCATGTTATCCATTGAAAAAGAAACGGTTGAACAACTTGACTTTACAAAATTAATTGATATTTTTACCTCAAAAATTACAAAATGAGTTGTATTTAAGTGATCGTTTAGAACATTTTCATATTATTATTTGATTGTAATATAAATATTTTGAATATTTGATTTTTATTTGTTGCTTTAGTTTCGTAAAACTCTTATAAAAAAAATGGATTGTTTGCTATAACTTATGAGCCCAAATTCTGAAATTCATCT